CACTTAGAGAGAGAATAGAGTAGAGTATCATAGTTTGATGTTTGATGATAAGTTCGTACTTTGACCCACTTTTATAGCCCATATATTTATGTTTTGCCTTTATTTTATTTTAATTTTGCACAGATTTATATATTAATTTTACATTTTAGCATAAGAAGGTCACAATTAGGTTTAAAGCGCTTTTTGAGCCCAAATTGGTGGCAAAATAGAGTTTCGCAACAGTCAGCATTCCAAACCTTAGAAATAAGCATGGGAGTGATTCGAGCTCATACATGACCATGTTTATGGCCCTACATGGTTGTGCTCATCTGCGACAAGCCTAATTAATGAAGAGCTTTTAGAGTTTTCAAACCCTATTAAAATGGGACCTCAGGCATCTTGTTCTACATCTAGTCTTTGATCTGTGATACACCCTTCATCTTGTCTTTCTTCTACACGGGATCTTTGGCATATTCTTGGTGGAACTTGGAGTTTCAAGCGACCATACTTGAAGACTGAGAACTCATCTCATTCTAGTTTATTTTTCTCTATGGCTTTGTTTATGATTATTTTAGTTCTTTCCTTTAGCATAAGTAACTAAGTCCATAGCTAGGGTTATAGAAATTACTGTTCGTGAATTTATAGGATTTTGAAGTTTGAATCTATGTTTGATTCCTGTATATGATTAGTGTTTATCTAATTGCGCATAATTTTATAACCTCAATTAATTATATTGTCAGGCAACCGTACCTGAATTAGTTAATGAATCTATAGGATAAAACAAGACAAAGGATCGAGTGGACCAAAACAATTTTTCTCTTCTAATCATTATTAAATTAACAAGTTCATAGGTGTTTTACGTTTTCTTGAATTAATATCTTGCATGACTATTGTAGATATTAATTTAGAGCAAAGAATATTAATAGTCCATGACCATTGGGTATTGATAGTATTTGTATGAATGATTAATAAATCACAAGAAAATCGAATTTAGAGTTAAACGAAAAAATAAAATAAATGGTTGAATGAGAAAACTCATATGCTCTAGGTTCCTCTCTTATAAATTCAACTAAGACATGTATATTGTTACTTGTTTTCATTCACAATTAATTTTATAATTAAATTCTTATTTTAATTAATCTCATATCTTTTAAGTTCAAACAATTGAATTAAAAAATTCTTAATAATTAGAAAACAATCCTTGTGGGATAATAATTTTGAGAGTTTAATTTAAAAACTCTATATTACTTTTTGACGGGTATACTTGCCCACCGAACATTTGAGCAAGAAGATAAGAGATATAAAATTCTAATTGAAAAAACCTTTTGATTACTTATACTCAGTTATATTACTTTTTTGTTCTTTTTGTCTCTACTATTTTAGGTTTCTTGTTATAATGATATGTTTTAAGTTATTCCTTTTATTCTTTAGCCAGGATTTTTGCTTAAGGACAAGCAAATCTCAAATATGAGGGGGTTGATAAGTCCATATTTTGATATGTTTTATAACTTATATTTATATACTTAAAGCTTATTTTATGGGTGTTTCACATTAATTTTATTGTTAATTTTTGCAGTTAAGCATAAAAGAATACTAGTGCATTATGAAAATATTCTAGACGAAAATGGGACAAATTCAACCGAATCTGCAAATAAGCACGACCATATTTCGCACACTTCATGGGCATGCTTCGTATTTTGGCATGGTCGTGCCTGAAGGATATGCACAGTCGTGCCTAAAGGATATACATACATGGTCGTGCTACTTGAATCTAAGTTCAAAATTTAAAATTTAATTTTTAAATTTTGAGAGTTTGAATCTAGATAAAATTCACAACATTCAAAGAAAGTTTCAGCTGAAATTTTGAAAGTTCACAAAATTGATTTCCTTTCTTAGAGATAAAGCTTATCTGTTAATGATCATTCTACACCTTAGATAAAGAAGACTTATGCTCTTGACAAAGGCATCCCTTTCTTCACCATTTTCCTCGTCTAAAAATTTTGACTTAGTCAACCATTGAGAGTTGTTGGAAAGTGAGAGATCATTGGCAAATTAAAACGACAAGCATTCCTTCAGAGTCTGAGCAAGTGCTTAATTTTTACTTAGAGAACAAGAACATCTTTCATCTTTCGTCCCTTTTGGGTTTCTTCATTTTGAATCATCTGTTGAGTTTTTATGGATTTGTTTAAATTTTTTCATTTATGTTATTATGAGTAACTAAATCCTCAGCTAGGTTTATGGTGAATCTTATTGCATACTATATGTGATTTTTATGTTTAATAATGATTTTGGTTTCTTTTTAATGTTTGATTTTTATCTTGTTGAATTGAATTTTGCATGTTAAAAATTGATCACCCTTAGCATCTTATAATTAGTTGAATCGTAAGCAGTCGTACCACATGTAATTAATGGAATTATAAGATAAAACGAGACAGAGTTAGGTGGATCAAATTTAATTCTTCTCTTCCAACCATTATTAAGATAACAAACTAACATATTCTTTATGTTTTCTCTACATTTGCCTTACATGATCATTGAGAATAATTGCTTAGTGAAAAGAATATTGACACTACATGATCATTAGGTATTAATAGAATAAGTATGAGTGGTTGATAAATATTAGGAAAACTAATATTGAAATTAAACTAAAGAAAACATAAAGAGGTGTAATAGGTGAAACCATATGTTTTAGGCTCATCTCATCCAATTTATGTCAAGAATTGTTTTATTTTCTTTTTAATTGCTCTTTGAATAATCTTTCTTACTTTTAGTTCACTATGCATCCTTTCAGTTTAAACAGTTAAATCAAAGTGATTTTGGTACTTGATAATAATCTTTGTGGGACGATAATTTGGAAACTTAATTTAAAATACTTTATTACTTTTTGATAGATACATTTGTCTAAAAACAGAAAGAAAGTAATGTTAAAGGATTGAGAACAACTTTTTTAAGCAAAGATTGTCTATTTTTCAGTTGCTAAAGAGAGAGGTTTATTTAAATTTTAAAATAATATAATTTTTTAGAAATTGTTTTATTAATATAAATTTTTTAAATAATAATTTTTTAAAATAATGAGAACATGATAATTACATAACAGTGATAAACTGATATTTAACAAATTACGATTAACGGTAAAAACTAAATCTTTATATTTTGAAAATGTTAGTAATTAAATTCTAACAAAATTTTAAGAGCTTTTTATAGATATTAAAAATATAATTAAGCATAATTTTCTTTTAAGTAAAATTTTAATTCTGTTGTTGTAAATGAAAGGAAAATTAGATATGCGCTAGCATAACTTTATTTTCTTACATTTACCTAATCAAATTTGAATAACAATTTTTTTTTTAATTTTAATATCACATAAAAATTAAAATAATTTTTTAATACATTAAACATTTTGAAATGAATTATATTTTTGACAAGAGGAAAAATATATAGCAAATAGTGGCAAAACATATTTTTAATACACTATTATTATTTTAAATTTATTAAAAATTATGAAATTATAACTAATTAAATAATATTTTTAACTAATAATAAAAAGGTATTTAAAATAGGATTAACAAATATTACCTCTCATCTTATTTATACGAAACAATTAACTAATTCATTAAAAACAATAAAAATAGATACATACTATAAATATTATTGTTATTTTAAAAATGTCCATTATATTAAATGACTAAGCCCACTTGTAAAAAAGAATAGATCGGTGTTTAGTTAACATATCATTATAATAAATTAATTTTTTTAAAAATTAACAATTAATATATTTAAAAATAAGCTTTTATTTTTTATAATTATGAGAGAGAAAAATTTGATAGCAATTATTATTAGCTATCAGGATTGGACATCTGCATAACAAGACTGGATATTTGTGGGCAACTCAACATTCAAACTGAATAGGTTTTGATAGCCTGTTAAAAAATTTGGACCTACCTCACTCTCAAAAAAGAAGGCAGCTGCCCTAGCCCTTATAAAAAGTATCCTGACTCTATTCTTAACCAATGTGGGATATTTCAACAAACGGATTATAAAATTTTTAATCATTGGATAAATAATTATACACATTAACTTAAGTAATAATAATTCCAATCATCATATTGAATTTTTTTCCTAAGGGAAGCTATGCTTTACAAGGAGGAGAGAGAGTATATATTCTTGATAATGGATGTTTTCTGAAGTTACAAGGGTGGTAATACTTTTTGATATCTCCAAGGGGTGGTGTTTCAAAAATAAAATAAAATCTAACGCTCAAGTTAGAGAACATTTTGGTCAAGAATGATGTGTAAATTCTAAAACCTGCATACATCTGCTATGAAAATTCTTTTTTATACAAATGTAGGAGGTGAGTGCAGTTTTGATAGTCTGGTCGCAGTTACATATTTGATTCTGAATCGTATTATATATAATTTTTTGTATAAATGCATTTAAGAATTTTTCACAAAATTAAAACTAATATAAAAAGATGTATTACTTTAAAGCTTAGATGTCCTCAAAACATTAAAAAAATAAAATAGAAAAATCAAACTCACATACTTACAATTCTTGCATCACAAAACTTAATTAATTGAGCTAATTCAGGGGTCAACATACTCGAATTTTTTATAATGTAGAACTAGTGTACCTTCTCTATATATTATAAATAAATAAAGATAAAATGCAAAATTAGTAGGGAAAAAATCAATTAGTTTTTTTTTTTCCTCCTTAAGTTTTATCAACTTTTTGCTTACCATGCATATTCTAATCTCATCAATATCATTGAACTTAAATAAAATATTGACTTGATTAAATTATTAAATGATCGATTTAAAGAGTGATTTAATGGTTCAATTGGTTGAACTAAATATATAAAATAAAATAAAATAATATTATTTTAAAAAAATTGTACAGGAATTATACTCGTGTGTTTCAATTTAATTACTAGTCCATTATGTTTTGTTCAAAACTAGAACATATGCTTTTATATATTCAAAACAAATTAAAAATCTAAAGAAAGGCACATGTGTACGCGTATTATGGTTTCTTCTAAACATTTATAATGTAATAAAAGCTTTACAATATATATTTAATATTTTTCCAAATGAAAAACAAAATCTCTCGCTTTTTTCCTCTTCACTCCATTTTTATGCTTCTATGGTATTACAACAATTTATTTCTATGCTTCTATGGTATACTTAAAGACAACTCTTAACTTCCTTTTCAAAGCATAAAACACCTATATTAGAGTAAAGCACTATTAAAAGTCTTCCAAGCCAAATATTATCTTTGAGTTTCTATTTGCTAGAGCAATCTTTTAATTTTGCATGCCTCGGACATATTAAGAAACACTTGTGTGAGTCCGCTTTCCCATGCTTTGTAGCATTTGTAATTATGAAGTTGTTTCATCTTCAATCTCTATTTTAAACTCTAAGTTTATAAGCTTAAGATGCACACTTGTGTAAAGACTTCACTTCTTTCGTTACTCTTCCCCTCTTTTATAAGTTGTAGCCATTAATTGTGACAAGTATTTCCACTCTCTCCCTCTCTTACCTTCTAACCGTTTATGGGTATTGCTCCCCCTTGTAGGTTGACTTTCGTATTTCTATTATGGAGTTTCATCTGCCAAGTGAAAGGTCAAAGCGACATGAATCTGTTGAGAAAGGAACCCCTTGCTGATTTCACCTTCTCGCAAATCTTGCCCTGATATTACTTGAGGAGACAGGGCTTCATGTTTTGGTTTGTGCATGTGTCACCCAAGCCACACAATGTTGACTTCACAGATGCTTTTGTTCAAACGAGCGCTTCATCTTCCTCTTCCTTATTAGAAAGCACTTTGTTCTTTTCTTTTTTCATTTTTACCCTTAATTTTGTTTATTGTATTCCCAACACCAAGTATTAACAACTATATTAAGAAAGAATCCAAGTAAGAACACCTCCATCTTTCTGCTGTAAACACAGGTTACAAGTTACAACTGCAGCAAAATTTCTGATTTTTTAGCATATTCTCAGCATAAAATAGTGGTATTTCAGACTCAAAAACCAGCACAAAAATCCATTAAAACTCTTCTAAAACCATAATTTTTCTAACAGCAATAATTTGTCATATTTTCAAGTATCAATACAACCTCAAGATAACGTGTGGATTTTAGTATGAATGCAATTATTACATGCAGAAAAGAAGAGGATCAAAACATATTATACCTATTGTGAAAATGAAATTGGGAACCAACCAGGACTCAAGTTTTCCGAGTCAAGAACCATAAAACTCTTCGGTCCAGCAAACTATTCCGAAGCAGAGATGATTCCATCATTAAAATCAACTTTTTGACCAAGTCAAGTTGCAAATCCGTTTTACAACAGCATAGGGCTTCGGCTTCTTCAATTATATTATCATTTGATATTCCCCAATATTAGAAATTTCCACAAAAGGTGAGCATGTTTTATTTATACTATTAGCATTGTTTGGACTAACATTTGCTTACTAATAAGGTGTGTTATGAAGGGATGGAGATGGGGCCAGGATCCCTGGCTTGGTGGTGAACAAAGCGAACCTGGTGTGAATACCTTTCTTTGGAGTTGACAATAGAAGCAAGACCCTTAAGGATGTCTCTAAGGCTTCTAAGCATTTCTCCTGGGATTTGTTCCCCTTTCATATACCATAAGTGCAGGTCTAAGGATGTCGTTGTGAGGGTCAAGGTTGGGAAAGGGTGAATGCACAGTAATCCGGGGCCGGGGACAAGGCACATTCTTTAGATATTGTCAGTCAACTCTAAAGACTAGGAGATTCTCATTTCAGATGGTGTCATGCATTTCAGACTGGGGGAAATGACACAGGACATTTTGAGCTAGGAAAAGTAAGAGACAGGGTAAGTATTCTGAAGGCTACAGGCCCAAGTCCATCTTAGTACAAGGCAGGGATCTAATAAGTTTTCTGGTGTTTCTACGGGGTTTGCCACATCTCAACAACCCTGCCTTCATTAAATGTCATCACATCATCTCCAAGCTACCGAGAGCAACCTACTTCCTAAACCTCAATTGTGATCTTTAATCACACTTCTACAGTTCACTCCCAAACAGACAAGATAAAAGAAAAGCTCTGCAATACAAAACATGTAGTGGCCTAAAGCATGATATTGATAACTATGATACTAATATATGACTCTAAACCACAAACCCTTATCAAGAATGTGCAATACAAATAATTTCATCTCTGTTATCAACCACAAAGCAATTTCCGTACAAACAGCATCTGTTTATAAATTAAACAATGCCGATTCAAAGTATTGTGTTTGGCATACCCAGAGTCCTCACAAAAGCAGGTACCCATTCAGACAAGAGAAGAGAGAAAACATGATATCAATGCCAAATAGTACTATTCCAAACATAGATACAATTCATAGATTCAGTAACAAGAGAAACACCAATTATTTGTTCATTTGTCTGAAATAACATTAATAAACATACCATACACTAAACCGAAAACCTTTATCCAAATAATGCAATATAAATACTTCCATAAATTCCATGTCTATAACCAACACCTCAAACTCAAACTAATCATTAAATTATTGCTTAATTTTTGCTTCCACCAGCATTATTCCCCCCTGCATCCTGCGCTGCTTTTTTTGCTGCCTTCTCCTGCAGTGCCTTTGCATCCCTGGCCATGAAGAAAGACAACATTTTAATTTAAAATCAAAGCTAGGCACAACTAACATTAAATAAATGAAAATGAAAAAAAGAGTTTCAAAATAGAACTGACAAAACACATTAACCCAACCTTTCCCTGCGCTGTTCAGGGGTCAACCCATCACCCTTTCCCTGCTTGGCTTTACCACCGACTCTAGCCTGAGCCCTTTCACGATCGCGTTCCCTCTGGTTACCACGTTCGCTTTAAAGTTAATTCCAAACAATACCAAAACCAGCTTCACAACCGTTGAATTATGCCAAAGGAAATAAAAAAATAAAATAAAATTCAGAAAATTGCGTTCCTCTTGTGTTCCTTTCCGTGGATCCCAACTGAATCAAACTATAAATTCCAGCACAACCCACGAGATCAACAAGAAAAGGGGTTGGAAAGGGTAAAATGAGTTTTTTTTTCCTCGGATTTTCTCGGGCTCCAAACGGAAAGTCAACCCTATCCCTAAATGACGAAAATTCGTGAAAAAGTAGCAGTAAATTTATTAAAGGAACAAAGGATATGAGTCATTAATGCTGATCGATTCTTCGACAACGAAACTCAGCCTTAGACGATGAAAGCCCTAAAAACTGGAAATCAGGAAAATAATAAATGCAATTAACGAAATAAAAAAATAAAAACAGAGTCGGAGAGAAAAACAAAAGGAAGAGCCAAAGAGAAAATACGGTACCTGGTCGAAAGAAATCAGACTGCAAATTATGAAAGCGTTGAAAAAAGTAGAAACGAGTAAGAGATTAAAGGGAGAGAATACGGCCACTTAAAAGATTCGTTCCCAGCTGGACATGCAGTGTCCAAGACATAAAATTATATTTATTATATTTATTTATCAAGCCTAAAATTATTTGTACATATATTTGTATGACTTTTTATATAAGAGTTGCAAATTATTATTATTATTATTTTGTTATCTAAATTATTTGTATTATTTAAATGATTTAAAATAAAACATTATAAAATCTATCGAATCAAATAAAATAAAGGCAATACTCCTTTTTTTATTAGCGTAATTTACATAGTTAATTTTTTATTTTACTGAATTGGTATAAATTTTAAAAACTTTACTAAGCCACACATGAGAGATTATAAAAAGTGAGTCAAATGTAATGAATACATATTAAGTCAAACTATTTTTATAATGAGTCATATGTCTAAAACTATGACATGTGATTGTTAATTTATTTTTTATTCTAACATATAAGTTATATATGATATAAATATTTATTTTAAAATTATTTTGTTTTAAATTTATATTTTGATAAAATATTAATTATAATTATTAAATAAACAAATTAATTAAATGAACATAAATTATTATTATTATTATTATTAATTTTTATGTTTGTATTTATTATATATATAATAAATTAACTGAAACCCCATTAATTAATAATTAATTAATATAAATTAATAATAAATACATTAATAAATACTACTAATCTTTCTTTGAAGAAAAGTAAATTTTGGAAAATAAAAATCTAAATTTCTTCAACTTATTTCTAGAAATTTAGTAACTATAATTAATTATTTATTATTATCTAAATTAAAAATTAAAAGTTTAAATGTGATGTTATTTGAATAAGTTTTACTTGTTAGATTGTGTCATGTGTACTTATTAATCTTCTCTATATTTAAAATTATTTAAAAAAAACGTTCATTTTTAATGTAACAATGAAATTTCTTAGAATTTTAACACATATGATTGCCCTAAAATTTTGTTCTCTAACATAAGAACTAATTTAAAAAAATTCTGCACTTTTAATATGTAAAACTTGTGATGATGTGAAAAATATACTCTATAATTTATTTTTAAAAACATTAAAAAGAAAAAAGAAGGCTTGCATATTAAAAGTCAAGTAAAATTTTGTTGAGAGGGTATTGGTTTGAATAGGATCGACCTATAAACTTTGCCTTAGATAATTTAGTTCAAACTTTTTTATGTGTAGATTTTTTTCCTTTTTCAATTTTCATAAAACTCTCCCAACAAGATTTTTTTGTAACATATGTTTAAAAATAAATAAATGAACAACTGCATTGTGACTCAAATTATTGTCTTTTAAGGTAAAATTTTGTAAGACTTTTGATCCAATCTCATAGCATATTTTGTTTCTTAAGGTTAATACACAACAAATTCAAACTCGTGCACAATATGTGCCTAAAAGAAGATGAACAATAAAAAAAAATATTAATAGATAAAAGAATAGTCCCGTAAAAAAAACTCTTTTATATATATATATATATATATATATATATTTAAAAAATAAAAGAATAAAATAGAATCTATCGACCATGACAATTAAAGTATTTGACTTCTAGAATATAGTTACAAATCAACAAACTTTTCATAAATGTTTATAATCTCTAACTGTTATAAAAATAAATAATACTAATAGTTATAAAAATAAATAATAACTTAATAAACTTGAATTGTTATTGTACAAATAATCTCTTACTAATGACAAATAAACAAGTAAAAAAAGTAAGATGAAGAAAAAAATTATATATATACATTTTAAAGTTTAACAAAATTTATAATACTTTCACTTTCCCTAATTTATATAATTCCTCTGAATAACATCAGTTGAGAAGGGTGACGCACGTTTTCCTTCCTTCATGTATGATGTTATATGTGGTGAGTGTAATTATTTATGGTTATGTAATTCTTGTTTTGAGTTTAATAAAAAAAATATCATCAGCCAGAAATTGTTTGTGAATTAGTCTTAGGGTATCATATTCTTTATTTATTTGTATAATGTATTATTATTATTATTATTATTACAAAATATGCAAAAATTAAATTAAATTAATGTTATTTAAATAATTTTTCATTAAGACATAAAATAGCTAAATTAAAAGATGATTGAATTGATAAATATGTTAAAAAAATAAAGGTATGTTCGGCCAATTGGATCAGTTTGTTTGGCAAAACTATTTGAATGCCTTGGAATTTTTATAAAAAAAAATCCTTTATTTTTATTCAATTTTCTATGTAATTGTCTTTCCTTAATGAATAATGTTCTAAAATAAATTTATAAATATAAGACAATATTATAATATAACATTTAAAAATTGCTGTATTACACGGTAAATTACGCTAATAATAAACTTGTGACCCGTGCATTACAATGTAGAATGTGAGAGATCACAAGAGCATCTCCCTGCAAACATGGGAGAGCTGTGTTTCCCCATAAAATTCGTTTCTCTGTCCAAAATCCAACATTCACAGCCCCACTCTCTCTCCCTCTCTTTACGACTCTCTTTGTCTCTCGTTACAATGGACCACCCATTGCAATTTGCAAATTCACTGAAGAAGAGAGAACAAAGGTGCCAATTCCAAAAGACCATAACCACAATGCAACATCTTTTATCCTCTAACTATGATCATCGTGAGCCCCTCACCCCACTACGATCGTCACTCTTCCTTCTCATGAATTCACCGTTTCTTTTTCCAATTACTTCCTTCCTTTACGATTCCTTTTCTTGTTGCTTTTCGAGTAATCTTTTTCGTTTCTTTTTTTTCACAGAAATAAACTAGGCCAAACAACGCAATCATAGAACTGTGACCTCAATCGACTCGGGGACCCAAGGTATCCAAGGCTTTCCCTCTTTGTTTTATATTTTGTCTTGCTTTCATTGTTCTTTTTGCAATGGGCCCCACTCTGAAAATGAATGATCACAAAAAATAAGCAATGCATCCAATTAGTTTTTATAATTATTTGAGTGTCAGCGATTTTAGTACTTAAAATATAAAAATAATAATTTTTAAAATGATTATAATTTTGATATACTATTAGTTAGAAATCAACATAGCAAACAATTATTAGATGATAATGTAAAAAAAAAAAAAAAAAACTATCAGCATATTTTAATTGTTTTTTATTCTTAAAGCGATAAATTAATAGTCATTTTAATCTGTAAAATTATAATAATAAATGATATTTATGATTTAAGAAACTAAATTGAGCAGTATTGGGTATTCCTGATTAATTTGGTATGTTACTCGAAGTAAAGAAAAAGGGTTTTGTGTTCTCGTCTTGCACTCCAAGTTCTGCAGTCTTGTTTTGTCTTGCATATGTTTATGTTGCTTTATAAGCAGCATTAAGAAGTCCCATTTCTTGCGGTGCTGTGGGGGCAAAGACTGCAACCTTAAATTGATTATTCAGTGGTGGCTTTGGATTTATGTGTGAGTTGAGAGGTAGTAACGAATAAAATTTGTGTTGGGGTGGGGGGTGAATTATGGAAGGTCGCCGGAGAGTAACGCTACATGAACAAATGTCAGCTTCGGAGAGTGGCCGAGAGCTAGCTGGCTTGACCCTTGATGACGTTTTAGCCAACCAGAAGAGACCACCGCCACCACCCAAGAGCCGAACCCTCCTTGACATCATCAAAGAAGACGAGAGCAATAAGAAGGACCGAAGGTAACAAATTGCATCATTAAGGTGCTTTCTGGCTTCAACGCTGCTCTTTTCTCATGTCTTTGTAGTTCACCTATTTCTTTCTTTTCCTTCTTGCGTTCGTTAAGAAAACTTATTCGTTGTTTAGAAAGCAATTACACGTACTTAATTAAGAGTTTTAACTTTAAAAATATATAATTCCTTTTGTGAAATAAAGAGTTCATATTTACATATATATAAAATACATATCAAATGAAAAAAAAAATAGATTTTAAATCTTATAACCATGATTATTCAGTTCAAATTTTCTTATAAAATACTCTTAGCAACTTTGGTTTGCGATAATAAATTTTAATATCATGAAACATATTTTAACGCGAGGTTTTTTCTTTTATTAAAAGTAACATTGATACACAATATAATGAATCTCATTAACATTTTACAATTATTTGTTTATATATTTTATTCATGTTATAGGCTATTTTTATATTACAAGTTAAAATTCATTGCTTCTCTTACTGTGTTTAACAATAGCTTAGTGTGTTGATTTGGTTGATAATGTTGCAGATCTTGGAAAGCTTTCAAGGACAAGCTTCGGCTAAAGCGCGCAGGTTCTGCTTGGACATCTTCTATTCATATCCCGACTTCGGATGTCCCTATCCCTAACTCAAACAACAGAAACTCTTACCAATTCGGTCGCAACTCGGTCCGATTCCAGACTCAATCCGACTCGGACATGTCAACTCAGTACATGACTCGCCAGGTCGATGACCTCGATCCATCCCCGGACGACTCCTATTCAACGGCCAACGCAACGGCGGCCAACGCACCGCTGGCCAAGGCACAATTCTCTCGCCGTAGCTCCACGCGCTTCGCCGGCGACACCTCCGACAACACCGCCGGCACTCTCCGGCCGCAGCTGTCTCGCCGAAACTCCACCAACGTGCAGTCGGAGCCGTACCGGCGGGGGCGCGTGGTGACCTTCCGCGACAGCTTGGACGATGACGAGCCCGACGACGAGGACAAGCCGGGGAGGACGCTGTCGGCGAGGGAGGCGGTGGCGGCGCAGGAGGCAGCGGAAGCGGCAGCGGCGGCGGCGGAAGAAGCTGAGGCAGCGGCGGAGCAGGCTCCGGTGACGATGTCGCTGATGGATTTGTTGGAAGAAACTGATAGGGAAATGGGGCTTGAAGGTTCAAGGTATATATTGAGTGATGATGAAGATTTTGATGAGGACGAAGAAGAAGGAGAAGATGATGAAGATGGAGAAGGTTCTATGGAGCATACTTGCTGCATTTGCATGGTGAGGCATAAGGCTGCGGCTTTTATACCCTGTGGCCACACTTTCTGCAGGATGTGTTCTAGGGAGCTTATGGTTAGTAGGGGTAATTGCCCACTCTGCAACAATTTCATTTTGGAAATTCTTGACATTTTCTGATTTTTCTTTTTCTTTTTAAGTCTCGGTTCTCTCCTTATTTGAGTTGGGAACTTCTTAAAAAGATTGTTGTTGTCGTTTTTGTGTTTTAAATATTGTTATTGTTGTTAATATTATTGTTTTGGAATTATTTTATTTTATTATTTTCTGTGTTTCTATATGATCTTTGGTGCAAATTTGAGATGATGAGAATGGGAAGGGTATACAAATTTTCCCAGTGAGTTCTTTATAAGCTCTACACCATTGAAAAATTGACTATTTTAATATGAAAAATGACAACATCAATTCCTAGAACTGAATACAAACAACTAAAATTCATAAATTTTGATTAAAAAAATATTTATTACCTTGGGAATATGAAAATATAATAAATTTTATATTTTTAATTAAAAAAAACCATTTTTATATGCTTAAATTAAATCTTAAAACTTAAGATTAATAAAACTATTTTAATATTTTTTTTCTTACAAATATTTTAATTCAAGTAGAACTTGGGAATAATTTTCAGGTCATTTATGTTACTGGCTTATTTTGCTTCTTCAGTATTCAAATTGGAATTCCACAAGTGAGGTTGAGATGAGAAAGGCATCAAAATTTTCCCATGCGAGGTCTTTGTACAAGCACTCCACCAATGCCCTATGAGTCTCACTCTCACCTTTAACAATATATTGGCCATTTTCTCCATGAATTAGGAAGATATAATATCATCATTGTTAGAGTTGCACGTAATTCAAATAATTGAACTTGTAATTCCAATAAAACAAATTCAACAAGAATTCAGAAGTTCTAATTCAAATTTTCAAATGCGAGTTTGTAGTATGCATCATGTAACATGACTTTTCTTAAGTTAGGAAACATGTAAAATTTGAAAGGGAGAGTCTATTTATCTTTAGTTTGAAGTTAATTATATTTTCAAAATGCTTGAATACAAATCAATAGTAAATAAATTTTCACTTTATTCACTTTACACGTCGCTTCATTTTGGAAGAGTTAAATTTTAAGGTAACTGCATTTTCATTCCCATTTTGATCAGATTATAGCAAAACACTTAGGATTTGAATTATTTTGTTTTCACACCCTGTAGATTGATCGCTAATTAACAAGAGTTTACTTTAATATTGGGCCTCAGCAGTAGGTAGCATCAACAGCCTAATAAAAGATAGATTGTATGCCTACTCAACCCAGAGGTGACATTTAAACACTATAGTCTCCACAGGTTTATGTTCACCTTTTGTGACATTTTCATGAATCACAGCAAATGAACATGTCTCCTAAATCAAAGCAATACAATCTCTATATACCCTTTGATGTACAGGACATATATCAGGTTGTCTCACTATGTAAATTTGATCCCCCACTTCCTTGTAAGAGTCCTGATTACGATACCAACTCCATAAAGCCCATGTTTCATTTTTCACCTGCATAATACACATTGAAACATTCCATCAGGTAAGAGCAAGAGTTCTGATACCTTGTTCAGCCAATTTGAGGTTCAATAAGCTAGAGTCAAATGACCTTGACGTCATAATCAAAATTAAAAATAGATTAAGCAAACAAAGAAAAAGGATTGCCTCTGCCTGATTTTGATAAATCCCAAGTGCAATATGAGGTTGTGTACTTATTGTAAGTGTTAGTTAATGTTAACAATGCAGGCTGCGCATTCTTGTAGTATAACACAAGTATTAATTCCTAGTGCAGAACCAAACATGATATGGCAGAGCTTTTAATGCTTCACTGTCCACTAGAATTAGTGTGGTATAACTAGTATCAATTTATTGAATATAAATACTAATATTTGTACCATCAGGTTTGTGTTGTAATGCACAATTTGGGAACAGGTGGGGCACAAAGGAAACAGTACCTCTAGAATCCCATAGCCAAAGCTACTTTCTCTGAAAGCACTGTAATCTGGCTGGCGATCCCAACAAAACTTGCTCACTGTTGGACCAAATGTAAAATTTGTTGCACAAAACCCACCCATATACGGATCAGGAGTACTTAATGGATCAGGACAATGACCAGGCTCGTCTGCGAATTTGATTGCCATCTTCTCTCTGTTACCCCCATCCCCAACGGTAATATACACAGGACCACATGGATCTAGATTATAATTATAAACCCGATTCGACCTCTCATAAGCATGAACCTGGTGATCAATTCAAGGGAAAAGCAAAAATCACAAGCTTAGTAGTAAATAATATAAATATTTGACCAAGTACCTGTGCATATATGCACATGCACTGTTGTTAATCACTTAATTACATGCTTGTGTTGTGATGAACAAAGGTAGGAAGCATAACAGACAAAATCCATAATCCTGGCAGATAATTGTTCCAATTTTGTTTCAGAAAAACAAAATTCATTTGATTGCCATGATTTTATATGCTGCCATACTGAAGCAGCTAAAGCTTTTAATTAGTGGATATATCTCCAGCCTACACCACAAAGTAATAAAATGGCCCTTCCCCATTAGTATATTACATTTTTTTTTTCATTTTTTTCTCATGACTATGATAGTTCCTTGGCTGTAAGGAAACAAGTTGAAATGGATTATCATCTATTTATTGATAAGGGTTTAGGATAACTCACATGTCCATTAAATACTATATCCACACCATATGAGTATAACAGGTCTTCCACCTCCACCCTCATACACTCTGCCTCTCGGTAATGGGCTTCATAAGAACTATACCATGGTGGATGCCAAGTAGCTACAAGCCAGGGAGTTATTGATCTATCAAAACTGGCCAGATCTCTCTCCAGCCACTTGTATTGTTCACCTGGCAATGAGAAGCTCAGATAACAAGAGAGGGATGGGGAAGGGAAAGCAAAGTCAACTGCAGTTAAATTTATTACAATGCAAATTTTAAGCAAATTCCACACCCATTAAATCATTCTTTCCTTTATAACTGAATATTAATACTTCTCTCTATTTCTACAACTGAATATTATCTTCTCCCTTTTCACTTTGGTTGTAACTTGCAAGAACTAAAACATACTGCTTCTCTTCCAGAATTTAAAAGATATGTTAGGCTTTATTATATTTTATTTCTGACTTGAGGAAATATTGTTTTATCAGATGTGAAAATTTTCTTCCAGGCCCAGGTTGAAGTGCTTATCATTCCTATCATCCAAAATACAAGGTCAATCAAAGTAGTTCCACAAGTGGGAGCATATAGGTGAATCCATATTTACTGCTAACTCCATGCCAACCCATATACTTGAAAAGCTCAATGCAATGAATTTCATATGGCTCAACCACTTAGCTCTCTATTTTTTCATTTTCAGTTTTGGTATTTACACTGCTAGAAATTTAACAAAATATGAGACAGTTTTCATATAAAATAACCAGTCAGTGTAGATAATAAAATCTAATTAATTCCTGAAATTTTTTTTAATGTTTTAGGGAACTTAGCGGGCAGTATACAAACAATCAATCCATCCTAGTTAACCATGATTTCCCTGCACAGCAGAAATTTCAATTTCATCTTTTCCTTTTAATTTGATTCTGTTCTGCCTATCTTTCATAGCAAGCATTGAAAAGTCTGCCTACTAAATCAATACTAACATGTAATAACCCAAAATAAATCAATTGAAAGAAAATTGATTGTACAGTGAAAAGGGGTAGAACAGGGAAATACCTGTTTTATTATAATTAATATAAGCCCCAAGCATAATAAAATGAATGCCCCCAGCATTGAAAGAATAGTAGAATGTGGAAGAAGATCCACTTTCTTCAGCAGGGAATGCAAACCTAGAACTGTAGGCCACGAATGTCCTGTCTTCTGCCTGCTTTTCTATTTCATGATTTCCTTCTACCACCATTATTGGAACTTTAGAAACCAGATTCTGCATAAACCTGGAATCATTCAGTTATGATAGCATAAGAAGATACAATGTAACATTACAGTTCTTTTCAATCAGCCTCAAACTATTGCTTAGAATTTAATAATTTCCCATGTACCTTCCCCAATAATCCCATCGAGGCTGGTAGGATTCATGAATAGGAGTTTGTGGAAACGAGCAACTATAACAGTCAGAGCCAGTTCCATTTGTAAGGTACAGATTTGCATATGTTACATCTCCAATCAATAGAAGAAGATCAGGGTCATTACTAGTCAAGTGACTGATTGTTGTAGTCGTATTATAAGTGAGACCAAGATCCCCTACTACTGCAACTTTGCTTGGGTAGTTCTGTGGACCAGAAATTGGCATGGTCCTGAAATATTGTATATCACTCATGGCTGGTAATGACGGATCTCCACATTGATAATAGTATAGTGTGCTTGGTTCCAATCCTACATATACAGTGGAAACTAGTTTAAATAAATTAAACTGTAAAACGAAAATTCCATACAATAACAACTATAGGTCAAGACCAATGACCAAAATTATTTTGATATTAAATAGAGTACATAGACAATGCATTAACAGAATTGGTTAGGAGCTTGGGATCGTTTGAAAAAGCAGAAAAAATGGCTGAGGGTCTGAACAAGTATAAATGACCGGTTCTGTAATTGGAAAGACAGTGAATATTTCTTCTGTATTCTCCTAAGGAGCAGCCTATTATTTTTGCAAAAAATGCCATTGATACCATAATCCAAAGCCCTATCTTTCGCTGCGCTTTTTAATAAAGTGAATGATAGGACTTACAAAATCTTACTCATTAGAATCAATTTGCATTACTTTTAGAGTTGGGATCTCTCTATCATGATGAGGCCAATTGTCCTTTCTTTTTGACCTGTAATGAGTTTTTGAAAGATTCCCTCTAGCATCTTAAGAAAACCATATCACAAAAGCTCAACCCACACTAGAATCCATGGCCTTATGAACTTCATACTAAAATCTCATACTTTCAATGCCAGACTCAAGTCCCATACTTGGCCATTGGATCCTAACATTTAACATAACACTTAACATAAAATTAGAAATAGTTATTTGGGTTGGTTTGTTCTATTAAATTCTTTCTAGGAAACAGAAAGGAAAAAAGTTCACCTGTGAGTCTAACATGATGGATGATTCCAGAAGTGTAATTCTGAAGGCCTTCAAAAGGATAAAACTGGTTGTAGATGAGAGATTGGCCTCTAGCTTCATGCATTAGTTCAAATCTTGAACTTCCATATTGAACAACACTCGAGACAATTTTAGGGTCCAGTGGTTTGATGTCGTACCCAATTTGAAACTCACCTAGAATAATCATATCATCAAGAAACTAACATGAATAACAGCGTTGGATTGAAAATATCCAAATCCAATTTATGTTCCAGTCACTACCGTACTTTAAATTGTGGTCCGGGTCACATTTGTCGCTAATTTTTCTTTTTAGAATTTTATATTCACATTAATATCACAATTTAAAACAATATCACTGAATCCCAAGGGTTGCTCAAATAGAATAAGACATTGCAGGATTCCAAAATAAAGCTATCACCTATTCCTTTGAAGCGAAATAAATACAAATCCTCTAAAAATACCTTTAAACACTAAATTACTTAGTAAAAATGTATCATCTATCTATCTATCTATCTATCTATCTCTCTTTATACATATACATACATACAGGCTAACTTTACACATTCACTCGTTTTAAAGGAGCTAAATTCAAATATATGCATTATTTTCACAATCAGATATAATATAGTAACTGGAGATACCTGTAATCCATGAGATCCAAACAGAGTCATGGGTGGTAGAGAGAGACACTGAAATCTGTTCGGGCTCGAATCCCTGGACGCAGCGGCGAACGCGGGGATCGGTGGCCGGCAAATCGACGGCGACGCCACGCAAGGCGGGGTCGAACGGAACAGTGACAGGGTCAAAGGGACCTTCTAAGGTGGTTGGAATGTGGCAGTGACTGAAACCCTCGAGAAGACTCAGTAGAAGAACGAAAACAAGAGACATCATTGGAGAATCCAAATCCGTCACACGGAGGTTTTCCCAAAATGGTGTGTATATTTTGATGTTAATTGTTACGTGCAAGAAAGAGAAGAGTGCATAGTCAGAGTTTAGAGTGCAGAATATCTCGGAACTGGAACTGAAGTTCACTTTCAATTATACTGACAGTTTAGTGAGTGACGGGAATGATGTCTTGTTTTATAATCGAAAGTTCACAAAAGCTCAACCAATACTTCCAAGAAAATGCTCTAAAAAAAACACATGTTTTTATATGTAAGAATAAATGCAAGAATAACTAAATAAAAATGTGAAAATTTTAAAATTAAATATGCTAAAGAAAAAATTCATAAAAGTAAGAAATAGTTAAAATTTCAAAGGCAATTAATAGAAGAGAGAGTTGAACTATAAACTTTTTTTTTATATATGGGTTTTTTTTTAAATTCAAAAAATATGAATTTTTTTTGTGAAATTACGGAAATGTGATTTTTTTAAAAATTACTATGGGTTGACTTTTGGCAAAAAAAAAACTATCACAGGTGACTTTTAATATACTTTTTAAATATTTAATTATTTTTCTAAAAACTACCATTGGCGACTTTTGAAACTTTATCACTTTTTTTTTATTTCTAATTTTTATACTATACCAAAAATTGTCAATAATAATTTTTGAACTCCATATTTTCGTAATTTTGTAAAAAAAATTCATATTTTTTAAATTTTAAAAAAATCATATAAAAAAAAAAAGTAGTTGTTGAGCTACAAAGGTAATATTAACATTATTTGGAACAAAATAACTACAAAGATCAGGAAAGTATCAAGAAAATTTTATGTAAATTTAAAAGTTTTAGACCAAAAGACAAAGAATCATTGTGGTGGAATGAAAATATGCAAGAAAAAATTAGAGATAAGATGATGTGTTTTAAAACATTGCATACATGCAATAATGCTAAAAATTAAACAAAGTATCAAAATGCAGGAAATGAGGAAAAAAAAGAAAGCAAAAACACATTTTAAAGGGTTTTATCAAGATTTTGGGACAAAGTATTGTGAAAGAAAAATTTATAAGCTTATTAAAAGTAAAGAAGAAAAATTTAAAGATTTGGATCAAATGAAATGTATTAAGATAAAGAAAAAATGGTTTTAAATTAAGACATTAAAGATAGATGAAAGAAATATTTCTATAAACTTTTAACGATGAGCAAATAGAAATATAACAAAATTAGAAGTACAAGTGAATAATTAAAATTAACATAATATTGAGGATTTGAGTAAGAAAAATAACAAGAACTTTTAAAGGACAATAGTAAAATAGTTGGCTCCATAATATCCCTACTAAAGTTTGTAAAAACAAAAAGAGTTAAGTGACTCATTAAACTTTTTAATAAAATTTTGATATATAAGAATATGCAAGATGAATAGATGAATACTTCAATCCCTATATATAAGAACAATAGTGATATCTAATACTGCTTAAATTATAGAAAGATTCAACTTATAAATCACACTATAAAGTTATGAAAAGTGGTTATTGAATATAAACTACAAGATTAAACTAGAATTATAGAAAATAAATTTAAGTTTATTCTAAAAAAATCTACAATAAAATTTATATATTTTTCATAAAAGATAATAGAAAAGTATAGTTAAAAAAAGGTCATATATATAATTTTTATTAATTTAAGAAAAGTATATGATTATATAAAAAAAAAAGTGCTGTGAAAGATTTTAAAAAAAAAACAAAAATTCGGGTAACATATATTTATATTATCCAAGAGATGTATCAAGAAAGTAACTATATATGTAAGATCTTTATTAATTCAAAAAATTTCCCCCTTCCAAAATTGAAGCAAGTCGACTTCTTTACAGCTTATTTGCTTAACAATGAGTTACCATATACTTCAATTCGATATCCACATTTAATCGTTGCGTGGGCAGTCGAAAACAGGTTTTTTTTTTTTCTTGAATATAACAAATTGCAGATATATTACACTAACGCCCAAAGCCCGTGGGCAGCCCTATTCATTCTAATTATTCACACGACCTAAAAAAAGACCAAAAAAACTTGTGTTTTTTTAAGAGTATCTTATCTTATGAATTTTAATTCACAATTTATAAACATGTATAATACACATGTAATTACTAGAGAACGTAACTAAAAGGAAATTAAATTACCGTTTTAATCATGAACAAAAGTTGTCACAAGATATAGAATTACCTGACTCATTTGTCCTAATCCAATGCTTATCCACTTTTTAAATAGTATTTTAACATTAATTTTTACTTAATATCAGGCTAAAAAATGTAAAAGGAATTAAATCGGATAGATATATGTGCTCATGAGGTGCAGTTCCTGTGTCAAAATGCATCCATGAAACTTGGATACAAAATTATGGAAACAAGCTATAAAACTAATTTGGACCTCGCTAACAAATTATTTTTTAAATGTACTAGTTAATGAATTAATAGATAGAAAGTTTTACTAAAAATGTAGAGATGAATTGAAAATCACAGTAAAAATGTATTAATAATATATTTTTAACTCTTAATTCTTTAACCAATACCATAAAGACACATTAACATTTGCTAACTAAAATTTATTTGATTCAATTAGAAAAATTAAGTGCTAGGGACTGTATCAAAATTCTCATTGCAGAACTAGCTAAAACAAAAACATCAACGTTTTAAACAAAAAAAAAATTCTAATAAGAGAAAAGGCACACGAAGACATCTGAATGCCCAACCAGGACACACACTAAGGTGGCGTCATTTAAGGATGCCAATATGAGAAAGGAAAAATTACAGTACCAACTATAATTTACCAGGTATTTTATTTACATACATAAAATGAAGTCAATCCCACAAGTTAATGAGGTGAGACAAAAGTTAGTACTGAACAACTTAATCTTACTTATACTTAGCCTTTGGTTCTCATAATTGTGATGCTACCTTTTCCCCCTTCAATGTGAATTTTTGTTTTTCCAACTACAGGCTTACCTGAAAAGGCTGATTTTGGGTAAGCTAATGGATCTTCCTTGCTTTCCTTTGATTTCAAAGGAAGTGGAGACAGAATGCGCTGATTTATTTCCTTAAGTGTAACATCTCCATGGGCACCACTAGGCTTAATGAAGGCAAATGGGTAGGCCACAGAAGAAGCTAACTTTGTGGGTGTTCGTATAAACGATTTCCGACCTACACATGTAAAAGAGAGTCACAATTTGTTTTCATGCAAAAAAGTGCCATTAACTATTATGTACAATAGTTCTTGGCTCAAGGGTCTTTTGCATTTAAAAGAAGGTAAAGACCCCAGCTGTAGGACTAAAATTATGAATCTTGCATAAGCATGCTAACTTCTATAATTTGTTTTCATGTGAAAGATATTTTGCCAATAAATATTACGTACTATATAGTTCTAGGCACAAGGGTCTTCTGCATTTCACAATAATTGAAGACCCCAGCTTGAGGAATAAAAACACGAATCTTGTAAAAGCATGCTAACTTCTATTCTCATGAGTGCCTCACTATACAGCATTATAGCACACAAGAAAATCCAGTTTTAGGTCTGTGTCACTGGATGATCTTCGTTGATGAGAAATTAAGCAGATATCCAGTACAATTAAAACAAGCAAGAAAGACCATATCAAGAAAAAACAAGTCAAACCTTTCAAGACAATATTTCCGGGTGTTTGAGTGATGTGATGCTGAACCTCGTTTTGTTCACATGCCGGTGCCAAATTGCATAGCTCTACAGTAGCACATAATTTTTGTCAAAAATAGGAGTCAATGCCCACAACTAAGAAAACAAAAAGGAAGAAATGGGAAGACAATATTGAAGGGCAGACATTGTCGTATACCTGCAACATTAACATGAACATCATCTGCCCCCGAAAAGTTTCTGAGTCAAATAACATAAGCATAAGATTGTTTTGTATAAATAAATATATTTCATAAATTAGTGGTGGTCTTTCGAAGCATACAAAGCATCAGGACATAATTTCATTTCAGCATCCTTAAAACAATCTGCTAGCCACCTTTCAGCTGACTGAAGGTCCTCATAATTAGAACCAGATGCTATTCCTAATGCATATTTCAACATGAGGGGTTAAAGACATCAAATCCATCTATGAAAGAAAAGGAAAATTTAAAGCAGAATTTTGCAAGAGGCAAACCTGATGCCCCAGACACCCATTGTGACACTTCTGGGAAAACATCCTCATTTGAGTCCTCCTTCCCCTATATAAATAATGTAACAATCACATAATTTAGTAAAAACAAAAACTCGAGCACAATTATTTACTCAAACAACATCTTATTCAGATCCATAAAGTACTAATGTACACACTTGACAAACAAACAAAAAAATATCTTTAAGTGCTAGTGCCTAGTGCTGACATTCTGCATTTGCAAATCATGAACTCTTGAAGGCATAAAAAAGTACCAAGATTGTTGATCAACCCAAAATAGGACACTGCATTATATGTAGGTCTAAGACCCACAACAACAGAGAGGACCTATGATGAGAGTATATATCACTAAATAATTACTATAAGGGGTAGCAGAGACTCAAACAAATATTTGAACCCAACATTTCACTATCAAACTTTAACAGTCTTCACAAACATTTAAGTTAAAACAGGGTTCTATATTAAGTCATCAAATAACTACAGTAAACTTGCAGTAGAAAAACTTGAATAAGTCCTACTTCACAGCTGAACCAATACAAGGTGGTAACACAGACCTATATGGGCGAACTAGTCATTTCAAGAATGATAATTATGAAATCTAATATCAGAAAAGAGAAATATAACAGAAAGAACAAGGTAAAGGTGTACAAATAGTTACATCAACACATGATTTATTCCTTCTGTAAACAACAAAATCATGGTAATATCATGTGAAATTTATTACAGTAAAATATAAATCATTTTCTCAAATTAAAGCAAATCTTCACTTTTTTCTTTTCATGTGGCTAGACCCATCTAACATGCTATGTTATGGGTGTGAAAAATCACTCCAAGTAAAAGCTACCACTGACATTGAATTCCAAATAGGCTGAAGACATCTATTCATTGGAAAGGGAATGATTCCCAACTAACATGCTATGTTATGTGTGTGAAAAATCACTCCAAGTAAAAGCTACCACTGACATTTAACTCCAAATAGGCTGAAGACATCTGTCCATTGGAAAGGGAACGATTCCCATTTTCAGTATTGAATTGAAGCATTCGCCGTCTCTTGATTTGGTAAGAAGTCTTCCAACATTCCTCCGGCTCCTTTTGTATATTGTTTGTCTCTGAAATCCACCTTATTTGAATTAAAAAAGGATGAAGGATAACAGGAATAACAATAATAATAGAAATGAAATGTGGCCAATGCATGAGGCTCCCACATAGACAAAGTGGGACCTTGGCAGAGTAGATGTACATAGCTCCCTGCAGGCAAAGAGACTGTTTCCAGAATTTGAAATCGTGACCTCTGTGTCACAAGGAAGCAACCTCACCATTGCATCAAAGCTCACTCTTAATAAATGGAAATAACAAAGAACCATCTATTCAGGTAGCACATATTAGTAGTTAGACAATGTCAAACTACCTGCCAGACAGAAATGTCTTACCAATATTATTGACATTGTATGCAAAATCCCCACAAGCCTTCACTGGGGTTGTTTCATCATTGAACATGTAGGATAGATCTCCATTTTGAGTAACGTCATTCCACAGCTCTTGAGAAATGTCTGCTCAAACAAAACGGTTTTGTCAGGCATCAATTAGTTAGGCTAATTGAAATTAAAATCATAAGCCATACTTACCAAAATTGTAATTCCCCTGGAGACAATAATCTTCCCTATGCCAGTCCCATGGCTCCCTAGCACCATTTAACATGGAACAAATAGAAAATGCTGATCATGCAACAAGAAATTGGTGCAAGAAAACACAAACCAAGCTTGTCCCACAACCAACTTGTAAGAATCACATAGGATAGGACAACCCACTCCCCGTACAACAATTGTAGACATAATGATTAGAACAATAGACAAGCCAACCGAAAGTAAATGGATCCAAGACTGACCAAACCAACCACACAAACAAATCACAGCACTAATTACCAAGCAAACATCCAAACAAATAAAAAGGTACAGAACCATCGGATTCTATGTTAGAAAGCAATCATGATATGCGTTTTAGCCAGGAATTTTTGCAGAAAAAGAGAAAAGAGAAAAGAAAAGAAAAGGGAGAAAAATACAAAAATAAAAAGCAAGGAGACTAATGGGGGAAAAATGATGACCCGCCAACATCATCGTCATAATCCTTCCTCTGTCCATAAAAACTCACATGAATCGAGCATCTCAAGAGCAAATAAAAACCAAGAACAGAAAAAAACTAAACCAACCATAGAGTTCACACAGAAAAGAAAAATACATCAGTAAAATGAAGATCAACGACCCCATACACGAATAAACCAATTAAATAAACAGATAAAGGCACTTACAAGTAAACTCCCAACAAATTGATGGGAACCCACTTTACCATCTCTCAAACAAAAAACACAGAACAGAAATTGAATAGCATCAAAATCAGAAAGTATATGTTGAAAAACACAAATGCAGTGGTCAAAGAGTGTCTTTTCCAAGAGATAAAAGAAATAGAGAGAGATAGAGAAAAGGGCAGAGATATACTTGTCATTGCTATAGTCCATTTGAGAGGCAGCAACCAGACCAAATAGGAGTCACTGATCAGTGTCCTTTCTCTCTTCCCCTTCTCAAAAATAACCGCTACGGAGAATTTCAAGATGCTGCATGAGATACATGTATGATATTTGTTGCATATAAAGAAAGGAAACAAAGAGAAACAACCCTCTTTCTCTCTATACCTGTGTATATATATGTTCCCTGTTCAGTGCTGTTTTGTCTGTCTGGTTTTCCATTTACTTGGGGTCATTATTATATTATTTTATTTTATTTATTTATTTATTTATTTATTTCCATAATTCTATATAGTATATAATCCAAGAAAGGAAAGTGGGGAGAGACAATGAGGGTCCACGCGAACACGACGACACGAGATACGGCAAGCGTGCTTTTACTCACTGGGACCCACTCTGGTCATTACTCTATTTACATTTTTATACAATAGGAATGACTTTTCTTCCGTTACAATTTATATGGTATTCATATTTTGAGAAAACAATTAATTTTATTAGTTTATTGTGGTATAATAGATTAATTTTATTAAAAGTGATGAAGTTATTATAATATTCAGGCAATAATTAGTTTTAAATTTATTTTAGCAGTTAGTTGACAAAAATTATTCTTAATAAATAAGGATATTATTAAAAAATAATAGATATTTTTTAATATTTTAAAATAAAAAATCAAGACAAATAAAAAATAATCAAGTAACATATCATATGAGATAAAATAAATATTTAACATAAAAATGATATATAAAGATAAAACAATATAATAAATAAGGCGATAAAAACAAATATATAATTTATTTAAACAAATATTTCCTAAAATTTAGATTTGGTGTTTAAAAAATAGATTTGATCTTTACCATCCGTGATTTTAAAGTGTATAAAACAAAGATATAATTTGATTTGATTTAAAATCTCATAAAATTTGTTTTGATGTCTGAAATAGGGTGACAACTTCAAAATGCATTTGAATATTTTTTTAAATACATAGTTAATGTTTTTAAATAAAAGTTGTTAAATTTTATTAAAATAAACTGTAAATAATTTATTAAAAATTTATTAATCTTTATATTATAAATAAGAGTTAATTAAAAAAATAAGCACTACTAAAACTATTCTCTCTACAAATTGTGATGTATACATTTTAAGATTAAAATTAATTAAAAAATTATATATAAATTATATTATTACTCAATATTTTTTAATTATATTTTTGTTAATTAAATTTTAAATTTTAAATCAATCGTTATATTTATATTTATATATATATATATATATATATATATTTATATGTAAAATTAACTACACTTACTTTATATATATTTATAATTAAATTTTTAATTATTAAAATTTAAAATGCTAAAAGTAAGCTTAACGTGTTATTTTCAAGAAATATTATATAATTGTGTGTTGAAAGTATAATCGTGCTGAAAATTATATATATATATATATATATATATATATATATATATATATATATATATTACAAAATAAAATACATATACATTGTATGGTGATGAGGATTTCCCTAAGCCTCTTGAATTTCGGACCTACTAGGACTAGGACGTATCTCGAGCTACAAAACTCGAAAAAGGGTGATTCAAAAACGAGAGGAATATTCACGTTGTGAACCTTAATTTTGACTCAAGAATCACTTAATTTGGATTTGTATAACGCAAGATATGGATAAAAGTTATTCTGGGCTTAATTTGGGGTTTGTTTGGAAGAGAATGCTATGAACCTTAAAATTCAGAATTGGGAAAAATTGAAATTCATACCTTGTAAAGAGAATAAAAAAAAAAGGAAATGTGATAGGGAAGGCGCCACAAACAAGGATGTTTGATAAGCCAACAAGATCGCCACAAGAACGGATGAATTCTTGATAAGATCGGAGGTTGCAAGGAAGAACCCTAGCAAAGAATAATTCTCACTATAATCTGATTTCATTCATGTATATCCTCAAAATGATTTCCAAGTGTTTTAGTACAATTCAGTTTTGGAGTTTGTCCACATAGACTCGACATATAAAAACAAAAACTAATCCCTTTAGCACAAACATGATGTATATGTTCAAGTGGTTAAGTGAGCATATTACATCCTAAGGTGTAAGGATTCAAATCCTATAATAGACAATAAAGCATAATAACATGTTTTTTTACACAAAGTACCAAAATAAATAAAAAGTCTTCAAAATTCAGATTGAAACTTTGGACTCTTCCTTCATTGTAATTGGGCTATGCATGTGTACATTTTAGAATTCAAGTGTTGGACTTCATCTGGGTGTTGGGCCTCACATTGGGGTTGGGCTTCTAGCATGGTGCTCAGCATGTGTTGTAGAGCTTCTTGGGCCTTCCTTGATCTAGCTCTTGTCATGAGCCCTCCTAAGCCTTGTAATGGATCTTGGACTGCTTGGGCCTGCGGTTGGTCTTGGTCTTGGACTTGGGTTTGGGCCTGGGCTTCACTCCTTATGTCCACATCATTCCCTCCTTCTTTAGAAGCATTTGTCCTCAAATCTATTAATTCTTCATTACCTGCATCAAACAAAGACAAGTCAGCCACATTAAAGGTAGCACTCACACCATACTCACCTGGTAGGTCAACTTTGTAAGCATTATCGTTGATTTTGGCCAGCACTTGGAAGGGTCCATCTCCTCTAGGCATCAACTTTGATTTTCTCAGTGATGGAAATCTTTCCTTCCTAAAGTGTACCCATACCCAATCACCTGGTTCAAATGTTACCCTTCTCCTTCCTTTGTTAGCATGTTTGACATACCCTTCCATTTTCTTCTCAATTTGAGTCCTGACCTTTTCATGCAATTTCTTGACATCCTCAGCTTTTTCTTGTCCAGATTTATCCTTCAAATGAGAAATATTAGGCAAAGATAACAAATCCAAAGGTGTCAAAGGATTAAAACCATAAACAATTTTAAATGGAGAGCAATTTGTAGTGCTATGAACAGCCCTATTGTATGCAAACTCTACATGAGGTAAACACTCCTCCCATGACTTAATATTTTTCTTTATGATAGCCCTAAGGAGAGTAGACAAAGTCCTATTAACAACCTCAGTTTGTCCATCTGTTTGGGGATGACAAGTAGTAGAAAACAACAGTTTAGTACCAATCTTACCCCATAAAGTTCTCCAAAAATGACTTAGGAACTTAGAGTCTCTATCACTTACAATGCTTCTTGGTAACCCATGAAGTCTTACCACTTCCTTGAAGAATAGATCAGCCACGTGACATGCATCATCTACTTTCTTGCAAGGTATGAAGTGAGCCATCTTAGAAAACCTGTCAACAACCACAAATATTGAGTCATTTCCTCCCTTGGACCGAGGCAAACCTAGAACAAAATCCATAGAAATATCAATCCAAGGATAATCAGGAATAGGCAAAGGAGTATACAAACCATGCGGCATGACTCTAGATTTAGCTTTCTTACATATTAGACACTTTTCACACAACTTATGGACATCATGCTTCATATGTGGCCAATAAAAATGCTCATGCAAAATGTCCAAAGTCTTTTGAACACCAAAGTGTCCCATTAAACCCCCTTCATGTGCCTCTTTTACAAGCATGTCCCTAATTGAACTTTTAGGCACACAAAGTGTCTTACCCTTGATTAAGTAACCATCATGCTTAAAATAGCCATCATGAGCAGTGTGTGAACATGAATGAAAAATATGAGAAAAATCAGCATCATTCTCATACAAGTCTTTTATATGATCAAATCCAATGAATTTAGTTTCAAGGATAGAAAACAAAGCATACCTTCGCGACAATGCATCAGCAACCACATTGGACTTACCTTTCTTGTGCTTGATTGTATAGGGAAATTGTTCAAGAAATTCCACCTACTTAGCATGTCTCTTGTTTAGTTTACCCTGCCCTTTCAAATACTTCAAAGATTCATGGTCACTATGAATGACAAATTCTTTAGGCAGAAGATAATGTTGCTAAGTTTGCAAAGCCCGAATTAATGCATATAGTTCCTTATCATATGTAGGGTAATTAAGGGCAGCCCCACTTAATTTCTCACTAAAATATGCAATTGGGTGTCCTTCTTGCATTAGAACAGCTCCTATCCCTACTCCAGAGGCATCACATTCAAGTTCAAAGGATTTGGCAAAATTAGGCAATGAAAGTATGGGTGCATGCGTTAATTTTTCTTTTAGGACAGCAAATGTTTTCTCTTGTTTCTCTCCCCATTTAAATTCTACATGCTTCTTAACTAGTTCATTTAGAGAGGCAGCAATGGTACTAAAATCCTTTACAAACCTCCTATAAAAACTAGCAAGCCCATGGAAACTTCTTACCTCTCTCACACTCTTAGGAGTTGGCCATTCTTGAATTGCTTTTATTTTCTCTTTATCTACATGCACTCCACTAGAATTAACCACAAATCCTAAGAAAACAACATGGTCCTTACAAAATGTGCACTTTTCCAAATTAGCATACAATTTTTCTTTTCTAAGTACATGCAAAACAGATTTCAAATGATGCAAATGCTCATCCAAATTTTTGCTATACACAAGAATATCATTAAAGTAGACAACCACAAATTTTCCTAGAAACTCTCTCAAAACATGGTTCATCAATCTCGTGAAAGTAATAGGGGCATTTGTCAAACCAAATGGCATCACTTTCCACTCATACAAGCCATATTTGGTTTTAAAGGCTGTTTTCCACTCATCACCTTCTCTAATCCTAATCTGATTATATCCACTTTTCAAATCAATTTTAGCGAAATAACAAGATCCATACAACTCATCAAGAAGATCATCTAACCTGGGAATGGGATGTCTATACTTGATAGTGATGTTGTTAATTGCTCTACAGTCAGACCACATCCTCTAACTTTCATCCTTTTTAGGCACTAAAATAACAGGAACAGCACAAGGGCTCAAACTCTCCACAACCCAACCTTTGTTCATCAAGTCAGAAACTTGCTTTTGAATTTCTTTGGGGTTACTCCTATATGCTGGTCTGTTAGGTAACACAACTCCTGGAATCAAATCAATCTGGTGCTCAATACCTCTCAAAGGTGGTAGTCCTGATGGTATTTCTCCTGGAAAAATATCTTGAAACTCCTGCAAAATAGATTTAACTCCACTAGAAAGTTCAAGATCAGAATCAAATGTAGCAATCTCTTTATTATAAAGTATATACATAGACTTTCTTGCTATTAGAGCTCTTCTCACCTCACCACTCTT